AGGGATGCCACCAGCCCATCGACCACAACCAGCAAGGGCAGAGGGCCATGTCCAGCCAGCAGTACCCACACGGGTGTCCTCATCCCCAGCTGGGCTGCCTCTGCTCAGACGGTGGACTCCTTGGCGGCCGCCCAGGCTCTCTGGCAGCCATAGAGCCACTTGATGACGCGGGCGTTGCGTTCCACCACCGAGACGGCAGACCCCAGCCGGGTGTCCGGCTCCTCCTCACCCAGCTCTGCATCCCCCTCGCTGCCCTCTGAGGCCTGCCCGGGCTCCGACTCGCAGGATCCGGGGAGCCGAGCCGAGGCGTTGTCCCATCCCGCCGGCCCGAACCGCTCCTGCCCCAGCAGCTCCACCAGGGCCCGGTCCAGCCCACAGTAGTTGAAGAACCGCTCCTTCTCAGAGAGTGGCAGGGACACACGCAGAGCCAGCGCCTGCTTCCCGGGGGGCTGGGGGGTCTGTACCACTGGGCTGCCAGGCAGAGGGAAGATGCCACCACCGCCACCACCACCGCTGGCACCCGGCGTCCTCACCTCCTCCTTCTCTGCCGGCACCCACAGCATGGGGGTCTCAGGGCTCTGGGGGGCCGGTGACCCCTCACCCAGCCTCCTGGCCGGGGGGGAAGTGGGGGGCTTGTCTCTGAGGGGTCCCTGGAAGAGGCGTCGCACCAGCCCCGAGCCCTTGGCGTTCTCCTTGTCCCCTCCTGGGCAGTCCCGTTTCTGCCGGTAGATGATGAGCGAGTCGGGTCTCAGCAGGCGCCGGCCACCGCTCCGGCGTGACACAGGGGACTGGGGGCACGGCAGCTTCCTGGGACCTTCCCGGCTCAGCTCTGAGGCCTGACACAACTCATTACACTGCTGGCGGGCCAAGAGGCGCCGGCCACGGGGGGAGAGCCATGGGGAGCAGCCCCTCAGCGCCGGCTCCTGCCGGCTGTTGATGACCTGCTGGGATTTGACGTATTTGGCCTTGTCGGCTTCCAACCTCTCCACGGCGCTGGGCACCCGGCCCCCGCTGCCCCCCGGCTCCCGCGGGCACTCAGGACCCCGGTTCAGCCAGGCCAGGGGGGAGCTGTGGCCGGGGGCCATGAGGCGGGGGTTGCTGGAGGCGCAGACGGTGAGAGGGGGGCTGCCCAGGGGCACCATCACCTCCCAGCCCCGAAATGGCACCCCTGGACTCTCTGCTCCCCCCAACCCCGGGGTGGGTTCGGTGCTGTGGCCGAGGAGGGTCCCCAAGGTTCTCTACCAGCTCCTGGATTTGGCCCTGGGAGGGGAGAGGAGAAGCGGGGTCAGCACAGAGGCTGTGGCGTCAGCAAAAGGAGGATGGGGGGCAAAGTAGGGCTGGGGGGTCCCCTCGATCCCTCGGCCAAGCAGGCAGGCAGGAGGCAGCGAGCCCGGCCAGCCCAGGCAGGAACAAGGCAGGGGCAGGAAGAGAGAAGCGCCGAGCATCCGCCGGTCCGGCCGCATCCCAGGAGCAGCTTCCAACAGGAAAAAATACCGGAGCCAGCTGCCTTATCTCGCCCAGCGCAGGGGCGGCAGAACAAAGCCCGTGCTCAGGAGAGCTGGCGAGCTGCCCCGGATGGGGCCGTGCGTGATGGCAGTGGGGCAGGGGGTGGGGGGTGTTTTGGGGTCTCCATGCCTCGCTCCCCACAGCCAGGCTGAGCTCAGCTGCCTGGGAGGGAATCACAGAACCATAGAATGGTTTGGGTGGGAAGGGACCTGAAAGATACGATCTTTAAGGATCTCATTCCACCCCCCACCCCAGGCAGGGACACCTCCCACCAGACCAGGTTGCTCCAAGCCCCCTCCAACCTGGCCTTGAACCCCTCCAGGGATGGGGCAGCCACAGCTTCTCTGGGCAACCTGGGCCAGGGTCTCAAGGTACTTCTCCTGCTCAATGCACCTGGACCACGGAGCAAAGGGGCTCTTATTAGCCCTGGGGTACGATGGCTCTTGCCCAGCTGTACCTGAGCACTCGTGCAGGACCAGGAGTGAAGGTGGGTGCTGGAGGAAGGGGGTCTGGTGCCTGACCCGGGGGCTGTAAATGCCCAAAACAGATGGTTTTGCTGAGCAAAAGAGGCCTGAACAGCTGTGAAGAGCCATCCCATCGCCAGCGGCCGCCCCAGCCCCGCAGCCTCCCCAGGTGACAGCAGGGACACGGGGCAGGGTTTGCCAGAGAGCAACCAGCCCAGGAGCTCTTTGTCCACACACCTCCACACACACAGCCCACGGGCTCCAGCACCGCATCCACCCCTGGTGCCAGGGGGAAACTGAGGCACACGGTTTGTCTGGTTCTGTGGTCCCAAGTGGTTCAAAGGAAGGTGGCCCCAGCACATGGTCCTGTCACCCGCTGGCTTTGCCCTGGCAGAGTCACCGTGCCCAGGATGTGGCTGCCCATGCCAGCATGCCCTCACTCTCCCCAGCCCCAGCCCCACTGCCAGGATTTGTGCTAAGGATGCCCTTGCTCACCTGAGCCCACACAGGGATGCGGGGATGGGATGCAGGGATGCAGGGATGCTCCGGTCTCAGCTCCTGCCCCTCTGGCCGTCAGCAGCAAACTGAGGCCAGAGCCTCCAGGAGCCTGATATAGAGGGTGAGGAAGAGGAAGAGCCACCCTGTTAACCCCTGCCAGCCCAGCTCCGTCAGCAGGAGCCAGCATGACCCCCCCTGCCCCAGCTGCAGCCTTCACACCAAGGGTCCTGCCCCTGCCCAGCCACTATTAACCCTCCCCCTCCGTCAGCTTCAGCTCATCTCTTCCAGCTCTCCTCCTCCTCTTCTGCCCCTGCCCAGCCACTATTAACCCTCCTCCTCCAGCAGCTCCAGCTCATTTCTTCCAGTTCTTTCTCCTTCTCCTCCTTCTCCTTTCTCCTTCTTCTTTCTCCTTCTCCTTTCTCCTTCTTCTTTCTCCTTCTCCTTTCTCCTTTTCCTCCTTCTCCTTCTCCTCCTCCTCCTTCTCCTTCTCTTCGTTATCCTTTCTCCCTCTCCTTCTCCTCCTTTCTCCTTCTCCTTTCTCCTTCTCCTACTTCTCCTCCTTTCTCCTTCTCCTTCTCCTCCTCCTCCTTACAGGAGCCCAGATGGCATTTTGGGATCAACTCCTTCTCCTTTCTCCTTCTCCTCCTCCTTACAGGAGCCCAGCTGGCATTTTGGGATCCGCAGCAGAGATCTCTGCCTCCTCCCAGGCAGGACTGAGTCTCTCTGTCCCCCCCAGCATGCAGGGCATCAGGAATGGGGCAGGAAAATCATTCCCACTCTGTCAGCTTCTCCTTCTATATCCCCCCCACCCCCGACAAGATGCTGGGTGCAGCTCAGGAGCAGGAGCCCACTCCAGTCCCCTGCCCCAGGGTCCTGCCCCAGCCAGCAAGGGAGAGGAGGGAGAGGAGGGAGGAAGGGTCCTTCTGGCACCTTCTCCGCTGGCGGCGAAAGGGTCAAACCCAGCCCTGAGCCAGGCCAGTTCCTGCCTCCTCTTCCCCCCGGGAAAGGGCTGTAAATCGCAGGAAGCCACAAAGGGCTGGAGCTGGCCCAGAGGTTATTTTTATCGCTGCCCTCTCCCCTTCCTGAGGGCTGAGCACTCCTGCAGCCCCCAGCCCCCCTCCATCCCCACCACCTGCCACCATGAAGGTGGCACCTTTCTCCCCAAAGGACACCCTGCACCTTCATTTCGGCTCCCAGCTCCTTGGAGCAGGGTCAGAGAAAGCTCCCGGTGCTCCTTAGGGACCCGCCAGCTCCCTCCATCCCTCTGGCAGCCGGGATGGATGGAGAACTGGGATACAGCCCAGCCCAGGCCACCTGTAGGAACACACCAGGAGACTCCAACGGGGACAAAGATGTGGCATTTGGCCCAGGGTGCTCTGTCCCTGGTTGAGAGGGGACCTGTCCCCGAGGGCTGCTGGCCCCCACCCCAGTTCCACCCCAGTTCCTTCCTACAGCACTGCTGCTGGGGAGCTGGTGCCAGGAACTGGGGCTGGGTTGGCATCCAGCACCTCCGGGCGTAGGGTACCGGGAAGGGGCCGGATCCAGGACTCCCTGGTGGACAAAAATGGAGGCTGAGCAGGATGAGAGCGGATGAGGCTTGTCCGAGCTCTGCTGGCACTGGAAAAAAATCCCTGTGAAAGTTCAGAAGGGACAAAGCAGCTATTCCCTTCTAATAAACCTGGAGAGGAGCAGCACACCCAGCCGTGCTCCGTGAGCAGGATGCGGCCACCATGGAGCAAACCCCACCGTTTCCAGAGGAAGATGGGGAAAAGGATGGGGCTGAGTGATGGAGAAACCCACGGCAGCCCTGGGATCTGCCCCTCTGCTCCCACGCGGGAGCTGACAGGACCTTATTTTGAATTCCAGGCAATATGAATCACTGCTTATTAGGGCAGGTTTTCTTTTCCAAGCTGGAATCCCGGCAGCCGTTCCAGTAAAGCCACAAGTGAGTAAGAGCAGCTTCAGATTCACCTTTCTCTGGCTGATGAGGGGTGTTCCCAAGGGATGCTCCTACCCCGGAGCCAGGCTGTCCTCCTTTCCGGCTCCTCCTCGGAGCACCAGCCAGGCACTTACTGCTGAACTGTTTTGTTTGGACAAGGCAGATTCCCTTCGGGATAAAAAAAGGGATGGTGTGAGTAGCCCTTCCTGGCATCAGCATCTCAGGCAGCTTCCGCTTCCCCTGGGGAGGGAGGCGATGGGGGATTTGTCACATCACCTTCTAGGAAGGGGTTTACCCAATTAATCAGCCTCTTGTGAACGCAGCAGGTGGCGTTTCTTAGTGACGTGGACGCACAAAGTCCCTTCTTTTTTATTTAAGGTGCTCTCTGCTCTTCCCTGGGGCTCTGCTTCCCTCCCCTCCCGGCTCACAGGGTGCCAGCAAAGCAAAGCAGCCCTGGGATAAAACCCAGCCACAGCTGGGGCCAGGGATGGAAACTTCCAGCCCTTGCGGTGGGCGAGAAAAGTCTGAGAAAGTCCTCAAAGGTCACGAGGCCCAGAGCACAGATCCTCTTTCCAACACCATTTTTTCAGAGCATGTCTAGCTCCCGGTTAAACTGCTCCCCACCAGCCCTCCTCCCTCCTTCCCAGCTCAGGGAAAAAGGGGGAGGGATGTTAATTACACCCACACCCCAGAACCCCCACACCAGGCTGGAGGAGCAGCAGGACCAGGGCAGGGCTCTGATGGCTCCTGGTGAGCAGGCAGGAGGACTGAAGCCAACCATGTCCCATTGAGTCCTTTCCAGATGCGTTTCTCCTTTAAAAATTAAAAATAAATAAATAAATAAATAAAGATATCACTTTAACTCCACCACGGCCAGATGCAGACAGGGCTGGCAGCACCCGATAACGCAGCCATCTGTTTCTCCTACTTGCTGGTTGACTTTCACAACCCACAAAAAGCTCTTTTCTGGTCTGAGGTCCATGCAAATGCCACCCCCCTGGAGAGGTGCCCACGGGAGCCGGGTGGCTGCAGGCCAGCGAGGGCCCAGGGTGCAGGCACCTTCCTTGGGGAGAGGGCAGGAGCAGAAGAAGACTTGTCATACGAGTTTAAAAATACCAGGGGCTCAAAACAGCATGAATAAATCTGAAACCACCACCTAATCTGGGGCAGCCACCCACAAGTTCGTGCAAGTAGGAGCTAGACAGCAGCTGGGCCCCAGGAGAAGACATCCAGACTCCCAGGGATATTCAAACCCCCCCAACGGGGGCTGCAAAAGCCACAGCGGGCGACGTCTGGCCTTGCTGGTGGCTGCCCAGTGTCTCCGAAGCTACCCGGGTCGGTACTGGGAGACCACTGGGAGAGATGGAAGGAGCTGCTGGGGCTGGGGGGAAGCCTCCCCAGTGTCTAAGATGAGCATCTGAGCTGAACCCACCACCCCCTGTGAGGGAGATGAGGAGAGGGTTCTTCACTGTGAGGGTGGGGGAGCACTGGAACAGGTTGCCCAGGGAGGTGGTTGAGGCCCCTTCCCTGGAGATATTCAAGGAGAGGCTCGACGAGGCCCTGGGCAACCTGGTCTAGTTGGGGGTGTCCCTGCTGACTGCGGGGGGGTCAGACTAGATGGCCTTTGGAGGTCCCTTCTGGCCTGGGCAATTCTATGATTCTATGATTCTATGACCTGCGAAGGTTTTTGGGTTGTGTCTGTTGTCATCGCAAACCCCAGGGACTAAAGAGGTCTCCGAGCTCCTGCAACGCTCTCGGTGGTTCTTCCTTTGTCCTCTTTAAGGAACCCCAAAGCAAGTTGGCTGTGTCCTCCAGCACACTGTACCTGCTGGAGGGGAGCTGGGGACGTGGGGCCACCCCAAAGGTGGTCACAGCTCCAACCATCACCTGTGGACTCAGCCCAGGCTGGTCCTGGCTGCTCCTTAGGAACCACAGCCCTTAGGCAACAGCTTTCTGCTTCAGGCACCCAAATAATCTGGAAATTCATAGAATCATAGAATTGCCCAGGCCGGAAGGGACCTCCAAAGGCCATCTAGTCCGACCCCCCCGCAGTCAGCAGGGACACCCCCAACTAGACCAGGTTGCCCAGGGCCTCGTCGAGCCTCTCCTTGAATATCTCCAGGGAAGGGGCCTCAACCACCTCCCTGGGCAACCTGTTCCAGTGCTCCACCACCCTCACAGTGAAGAACCCTCTCCTCATCTCCAGTCTAAATCTGTTCCCCTCCAGCCTGAAGCCATTGCCCCTCGTCCTGTCATTGCAATTCATCTGGGAACAAAGGGATTTAAGAAGAACGTGGCCTGGGCCATGGCTCCTCTCGCAGGGACACAGTGGTGGTGCCAGCTCTTCCTTCAGGTCACTCCACTCCTCTGTGCTTCTCCTGCTCAGCTTGTAACGAGTCGGGGAGGTCTCAGACTCCCCAAAAATGCTGACAGAGCCTGCAAACAGAGATCAGGAGCAGCTCGGTTTTATATTTCCACCTCCCACCCCTCCCTGAACGCCCAGGCACTCCGGAGGGGGGGTTTGTGGCAGCTCAGACACCACGTCCCTCTTCCCCCGTTGCCCTTAAGCACAGAAATTGCACTTTGCATGAAGGGCTGCCGGGCTCCTGGGACCCGAAAGGGAAACGAAACCGTCAGTGCTCAGCGGCGCCCGTTAAATAGTTTGTGTTCAAAATACTGACTCGTTCTCCGGGGGGGACAACTCTTTTCCTTCGCACAAAGTGTGGGCAAAGATAAAACCCACGTCAGGATGGATGTCCCAGCAGGGGACTCGTGGGACACACCGGTGGAGCAAAGGGAAGAGCGGTGCCAAAAGGCGGCCGTTTGTGCCACCCTGAGGTCCAAAGGCCACCGGAGCTCGGAGGGAGGGGGGAAAAGTTGTTTCTCTGAAGCGAGGGCAGCCTTCCAAGGGGCGGGAGGGCGGGTGGCCCCCCCGTGATTTTATCTCCACCACAAAGCAAACGCCTGCCCTCACCCCGCGGTTTGCGCAGGGGGCAGGGATTGGCCAGGGTGAAGGAAAACTCTGTTTAAACCAAAGCAAAGCCCCAATCCAAACAGGAATACAAACAGTTCCCCCAGCCAAGCCCTGCCCCAGGAGCAGGGACGGGCAAAGCCAGAGCCTGAGGACTCAGCGTTGGGCAAAACGAGGGAAATAGAGCAGGGGGTGGGTGATCCGAGCCTTAGTTACACCCAATTCCTGCAGCAGGGCATTTCCCTGGGAGATTTCCCACCCCCTCCCCACAGACTAGATATTTCTTAATTAGGTAGGCTTCATTTTCTTCATTTTGTGGGGGAGGAACCAATAGCCTGCGTCTGTATTTAAAATCGCCACTCTTACAACTAATCAAAGACTTTAATGAAGGCACTTGGTTCCATCAATAAAAAATAATCTGAATTTCAATCCCTTTTTCTCTCTCTCTCACCTTGACTTAGTGATTCACCCCACAGCTCCTGCCCAGTGGGGAATGTGCCCGTCTCCTGCACCCAGACACGCAGGCGACAACGCCAAGGACACGGGCACACAGGAGATAACGGGGTTTGGGTTTGTTGGGGGGGTAAGAAATGAAAAAACAAACCAATTTATGGCATTCCCAGTTCACGCTATTCCCGCTCCCAGCCTGCACAACCCTTTGTTCTGGAGCGCTGTTAATTAAAACATGCAAATGACTACTAGGCTTCGCTATCATGTATAAGTCATTGTGTTTCCTCACCTTTATTGCTAAGGTTTCTTGGGCCACATGTTACCACTGTTCCCCACAAACCTCCAGCTTCTTTACAGCTGGTTGAGCCCCCAGAGCTTGCACCCCCCTGCTCCCCCCAATAGAGCCAGCAGGAGGGACACATCGTCCCTCTTCACACCAGTTTCAGCCATAAAACGAGGGCTGGGGCTTTTTGGGGGAAATCTTACCCCAGCAGACACAGGAACCAGAGGGAAAAGGCTCAATTCACTGAGAGGAGCAGCTTTTGCAGCCTCAAAAATCCAGTAATACCAGTAGCAGGGCAGGCAGAGCCTGCCAGAGGTTTCCTACAGCCCAGGGTGGTGCTCACTCTGCCTGTAGTAACAGCTTCAAGTATTTTACCCTTTAATCCCTTCTTTGAAAATTAAGTCCACCCAGAAGAGCACCGCTCTGATTCTTAAAGGGCTGGGAGAAGCTGCAGGGTCCTCAGGGACATGTCTCACCTCAGCTGGTCCAAGGGACAGCTCTGTTGTCACACCCAGTGTGGCCTCTCTCTGTCAGGTCCCCCAGCAGCACGTCTATTAGCCAGCCCAGCACCTTTACGAGCCCAGGATCACCTACATTGTGACTGTGATGAATTATTACAGCTAATTCCAAATAACCTCCCCCCTCGGGCAGCTCTGCTGACAGCCAGTTGTCATCGCGCCGACGGAGAAGAAAGCATTTCTCTGGAGAAAGTCCAAACGCTTCATGGAAATTCAGATTTTATTTCAAAAACAGTCATCAACTTAATAAATTACACAATCATTTTCCTCGTTATAAATTCTCCATAAAATATATTTTACAGTTTTTAAAGAAAGATTTGAAAATAATAAAAAAAAAAAATCTTTTTTGAGTGCTGCAGTATCTCGACTTCGTGTCACGCTGGTGAATAACTCTGTAGCTGCTACAACGATTAGATTTCTCAAAGGTTTTAAAACAAAGACCTCAGAACGACAACAAAAAAAATCAAACAGAACACGGACGTCAAGGACTACCACTCAGTGTCACCCAAGGAAACACTCAGTGTCACCCAACAGCAAGGCTAAGCACCATGAGAGGGATTTCAGGTACCCCCACCCTTTAAAGTGGCAAATCAGTGCAAAAAAGAAACACTTTGGGAGTCAAAAAAAACCCAAAACAACCCCAAAGAACACCTTTTCCTGTGCCATTCACTAGCACTCATTTCTGCAGGGCAGGCAGCACATTCCGTGTTCATCCTCCCAAAGGCTTCAGAGGAGAAGGGGATGGCTTGCAAAGTGCCTTCAAGGTAAGTAGTATTATTCTGTAGTAGATTCAGACTCTGAGACAGCGCAGTCAATTCTGACTGTAGTATTATTCTGTAGTAGATTCAGACTCTGAGACAGCGCAGTCGATTCTGACTTGTATGTACGTAGGCAAGAGATGAGAGGAAGTTTGCAAGGTATTTTGTTTAACGTGGAAAAATGACATATGCTCCTCAAACTTCACTCCTGGAATGACCTCGGCACAGACAGCAAGAGGTTTGTTTTCCTCCTTTCAGTAACAAGCTGAGGCTTCAGTTGTACTGAACTGAGTTAAAACAGGAGAAAAGGCAGATCTCCACTTCGAGAATGTTAAGAATAAATAGATCTCTCCTTGTCGTTACTCTTTTTAGTCTTTTTTTTCCAGCCTGAGCTCCCTGCAGGGAAGGAGCGACGCCGGGACATCCGGGCAGGCAGCAGTTTGTGTCCCAGCCACCTCCATCCCTGCCAATTCATGCCAAAGCAAAGGCTGCTCTGCTCTAGTCAGGGACACTGTCTTCTGAAAGTCACTTCTACAGCGTCTTCTAAACAGTAAACGTTGTTTAGAGACATCAAAGTGTACTCATCTGGGAAAAAAATCACTGTTTAGACAACATGCCTTAAACGATAGAGTGAAGTAAAATCACAAGAACTAAGGACTAAGGCCCTGGGGGTAACTGTCACCTGCTCTACATAAAAGTCCTATTTTAGTTGTGCTGCTTATTCACACTCAGGCAGAATAAACACTGACTGCTCAGAACTGCTCCCACAGCACTGAGAGTACCCAAGGAGCAAATCATAGAAGGAAATACGGCAGTTTTCAGGTAAGACTTGGGGAAAAAAACCCAAAAAAACCACATTAAATTGATTTTATTAAGAAAACTGGCCTTTGTTGCAGCTTTAAAGGCAGTTTTTAAGACTCTACTGTTTTCCAAAAGGTCAAATTGATGAGAAAGGTCATGGTCCTGCACCAGAAAGAACAAAGTGTTATACTATTACAAAGCAGCTTCTGTCTGCCCTGAGCGTCAGGTGACCCCGGTGAAACCTCTCTTGCACATCAATCTGCTTCTGCGGAATAAGAGCTGGGGACAAGCAGCCTCTCCACAGCTTCAAAGCCTTCCAGCCTACCATCCCTGCTTTTTAAATAAATATTATTTCTTTAAAAGGAGGAAAACAAATAAATAAAGGGCGGCCAAGGTTGCCACACAAATCGGAGAGACCTTTCACACCCCGTGGAAGTTTTCTCTCCTGTATTTGAGAAAAGGTGTGTTCTGCAAGACAAACAGTCACCCCTTTATCTCCTCATCAGGTTAGAGTCAGTGCCAGAAAGGGAGAGACCACGACTGGTATTATTATTAGATTCAGTTACCAGGAAAACTGTGCAGCACCCCTATTTTGAAGAATTTTATAAATAACACCCTACGCTGCTGGATTCCCTCACCCACACGCTTCCATGAACTAAACCCACAGAACCCTGCTCTTAGAAATCCTCAAGGTGCTCCTGGATTGTAGATGCAAGGGTAGAGAGCGCGTTGTGAAACTGTAGATTAACTGATTAATAAAGTATTTGATTACTAGAGGAAAGCAAAATGGAATTATTAATGAACTAGCCAACACGCTAGCACCTGATTGCATACATTTGGAATTTGACTCCCTCGGCGACGAGCTCATTAAGTGCTAAGCTTGGTCACAACAGCACTTGGAAAACTGCTGATCCTCTTGCATTGCATTTATTTTTATATTTTTTTTGTCTACAAAGTCAAGTCTCAGACCCTATCTTTGACATTAGATACCAAAAATAAATAACAAAATTATCCAGGCCTGGAGAAGAAGGAATGCTTCTCATCTATCCTCTTCACCCAGTTTTCTAGCAGACCCCAATCACGCACACCCATAGCAAACAATTTAAAATAAAAAAAAGTGGCATACACTCCCAATCACTCCTATACATAAATATATACACACAATTACTTTACAAAGCCTCAAGATCTGCACTACCAGCATGCAAATCTCTTTGTTTGTGGTTTTGTTTTTTCTTTTTTCCATGAGAGTTCCTAATACTGACATAGGAAACTGGAATGTACGGAATACTCCACGTCACTCCTTAGTGCTGGAAATGGAGTCTCAGCAATTAAGACCTCCCTCTGCCAGCGAACACAAACGAGCACCGCGGCATCGCACGCTCACCCCTAACATCCTGGTATCTATACACATCAACGCGGCGTTAACGCAACGGCCAACTCATTGATGAAACTCAAGAGAGTAGCATTGACCAAACTCCAGAGAGATTCCTTCGGAAGAAACTACACCCTGCAGGTTTGGGGTTTAGGCTCGTTTCTTTTACTGCCGTTCAATGACACACCTCAGGGAGGTGAGAAGTGGCTCCAACGGGGAGACACGGCCCCGGCCCATCACGTGTCCCAGCTGCTGTCTTTAAAGGCTATGTTGACTAATCGCAGTTCTAGCTCGAAAGCATCGGGTCGGTCCTGGGGGTTGGCAGCCAGCATTTCCTTGATCAGCTGCTTCATCCGAGCATTCATGGATTTTTTCTTGACAGGGATGAGCAGTTCCATTTTGGGGTTTTCCAGTAGGGCCTCTCCAACAGGCACGATGGCCGTCCCCTGCTTGACGTAACTCCCCAAAAGTTCTTTCTTTGTTTCCGTGTCTATGAAGGTGATTCTTTCCAACATGGCCCAGATGATAATCCCCAAGGCAAAGATGTCAGCTTTGGCAGTGTAGTGTCCTTCCCAAACTTCGGGGGCCATATAAAAGTCAGTCCCACAGGCAGTGGATAGAAAACACTTATTGACATTAACTGGTTCCTCGGGATTCTGTCCTGAGGCTGAACATACTTTACTCAGCCCAAAATCGGCTACTTTCAGGGTAGGTTCCAAGTCACTAGCATCCATCCTGCTCCGAGAGATGAGAATATTGTCAGGTTTGAGATCCCGATGAATAATCTGATTTTTGTGCAGGAACGCCAGCGCGCTGCTGAGCTGGAGCATGAAACTGGTGTTGGTCTTGCGGTTGGGTTTTCGGGACAACAGATACTCATTCATGTCTCCTCCGTCACAGAAATCCATTACAAACCAGAGGTAATAAGCACTTCTGGGGTCAAAGACTATTTCTCCTTTTAATGAGGTCTCTACAAGCTGCAACAAGGAAAACAAACGTCATAACTACCTGATGATCACAAGAATATAAAGATATGATGGAAAAAAAAAATAAATGCATGAAGTTTGGATCTTCCCCTCGACAATCCAGAGAGCAAGATATTGCAACTGGTGAAAACAAAACTTTAGGTAAAATTTCTGATGTAAAAATAAAAAATAAGAAAAAAAAAATCACAATGTATTCCACAGCCTCCTTATTTTCATGGGTGAGAAGCATATCAAGTTCACACTCCTGCCCAGAAGCTAGAGCTAGACCCAGATAACAGTATTTTGAAAGATAGTAAGTGGCCATTGCACTCCCATCTGTTTCAGCTGGACACCGGCCCACCCCAACAAAGCCCGTCCCACCCATTTCACTAACAACTTCCATGGGCAAACAAAGTCCCAACAAGTAACTCCCTACAGTGCCGGGGGGTTGGATTCATCCTCTGTTCATGAAGTGGTGCCACAGTAGATTTTTAAAGCCTATTCTCCATTCCTCACACGTGAATGTATTCCAAAAGTGTTAATACAAGGAGCCCTTAGCTCAGGAGAAGGCTAATCTATGGGAACAGCTCAGCAGCTGCTGCACCAACCACCCTTCCCACCATCATGATCCACCTCCTGTTTTCTACAATATAAGCAGTGGGTAGCTCAAGCAGCCAGGTCTAATAGCTGCTTTATACAAAAAGCAAAGGAAAACAAGCCATCAGTTCTGCTAATTCCATTTATACAACTACACATCTGCCTCTTCAGCTCCTCTGAGGTGCCTCTTCGCACGCTTTGGAAGGTAAGTCTCAAAATTAATTCTATTAGGAGTAGAAGTATTCTATTTTCCTTATAGGAAAGCAAATGTAGCTCCCATAGACTTTCAAAAGCTATTAATATTTCGAGAGGCATGTGACCTTTTCCATCCAACAGCAAAATTACTAGCAATTTGTAGCTATCTTTAATTGTGAGCCCAACTAGGACTCAAACCAGACCAACTTAGAGCAGTAAATCCATGTTAGAACTAGAAAACTGCGTATTTAGGGTTTACAGCCAGCAAGAGTGAGATTAAGGTATCGCAGGACAGCAGGGAGTCTCCTTTGCCAAGTGAGCAGCACCACACAGCTCTCCAGGAGCTGGACTTCCACCTCACTGCAGAGCCTTCACACAACAAAACCCACCACCATGTCCGTGACAGTGGCAAAGCCCCACAGGACCAGGCTAGTTTAGGTTTCTACCGACTTAGTTCAGCTGACACCAGTTTGGCATCTGCCCCAAAGCCCTTCAGGAGACACTAACACCCCCCTCCCCAACCCAGCTCCTCACTCTGCCCCAGTTCAGCTCCATAATGTAATACAGTCCAGGCTGAGAAGAGGGCAAGCCAAGGGAGATGTGATTTTTCTCTATTTTAGCATATACATGCATTTATAAAGTGATCTCTCCAGAGTCAGCTCAGCCCTGCCCTTTGCTCCCCTCTGCTCTCTGGAGCAGGGAAACAACCTGCAGTGCTTGTGGGTGAGATCTGTATTGTTTAACAGTCCCTACCATCAAAAACCAACATCAGCTGGAAGCTCTCCCCCACCTTCCAATTCCACCCTGGGTTTTTTTTTAAGCTCCTCCCTGTACAGCTGTCCACAAGTTTGATGCAATATCTCACACAGGTTCACTAAGGACTAGGAAGGTAAGGCAGTAATTTCTCCCACTTGAGCTATTTTAACCCTAATCCCTTCATGAAAGCAGGTCAGGACCAACTACCAAAGCTCCAGCGAGTTTACAAAGGCAAGAATCCTCTTTCTCAGGCTGTCATGATGAAGGCTGTCAGATGAATGTTCAGTAACAAAAGGTCCTACGTTAGACAAAGCGGCAACGACAACAATAAAACCTGAAATGTGAAAAGCTGACTAGGGCTAACACGGCAAACACGGAGCAGGCTGCTGACTTTTTAAACCAGAGACACAAATTTCTGCCCGGGGATGATTTGATAGCTGGGGCAGCTTCTCCACAAGGGAACGAATGGGATTATCTTTCAAGGTCTTCCCAGAGCTACTTATTCTTCAAAAATACGCGTCTTCAAACTGAAAGGCAACTTAAAGGACACTGTCAGTAGCCACACAGGGGGAGTGATATTTATTCCCTTATTTACCATACCTGTACCTCTCCTTGAAGGGATTAAGAGTTATTTATTCAAAAAAGGAAATGGCTTACCACATGCTACAATTACTTATTATTTCTGAAAGAATTTTAAGTGCTGGCTTCCTAAATGAAGACGGTTACTTCCTCTTCCAAGGACATCTGAGATTAAGAAATTCTGCAGAGCTCTGTCCCAAGACATCAGCACACGTCTGCTCGTTAACCCTGCAGCTGGGCTTCTACCAAGTAACACACCAGCCTGCACCTCCCTTCTGCTTTACCCCTCCTGTTTCCTCAAATCATCAAAGCAGATTCGCATTTGAAAAAAAAAAAACAACCAAACCCTGGAGTTTTCTAGAGTGGCATGGCTTCAAATCACAAGATGCAGGTGATTGTTCAACACATACGCTCTTTTAAAGATATAAAATAATTTCTGGGTGTCAACAATGTGAACAAAACCCTCTCCTAATGAAGCATACCTCAAAAAAAAAAAAAGCCATCTTAGCTACCCACCTCCTTCCCTCCCAGCTACACAGCCGTATTAATTACTTCCACCCCGTTACCTCAGCTTCATGTACCTGTAAATAAAGGGAGGAACTGGAGCCATGGGACATCTTCTGCACCATACCATCTTTCTGCAAGATGCACTCCTCCAGGTGAATGACGTTGGGATGCTGGCTCTTGATACTGCTAAGTGCCCAGAACTCACGCAGAGCTAGTTCCACGTTCTCTGGAGCATGGCACCGTATCTTTTTCACCGCCACCCGGGCAGAGGTCTTCCTGACGACTGCTTCGTACACCACACCATAACTGCCACGACCAACCTCTCGTATTAGATCGTACTTAGGCTGGCTACTCACCATCTTCAAGATCAAGGGTTCTGGGGAAGGGGGGAAAAACCCACAGAACTAAAACTCATGAGCAAGAACCGGGCTGTATTTTCCCCCCATAGGGCTCGGGGCGGCAATATTAGGCCTTCCAACACCCTGTGATTAACAGGGCAGCACCTCTGAGCGTTACACTGAATGCAACGCCGCATTAGAGGGGGAGAATATTCCAGAAGCTAGCCTGTAAACCTCTACCCGTTGCCACAGACTAGTTAAAAGTGAAATCACATCATTTTTTTTTTTTGGTGGGGCTACTAAGATTTCAAATACAGCCCAGTTTTCAAGGTGGCAACAATTCAAACCTAGACTTGTCCTGTGCCGAGACAGGACTATCCCGTATGCTCCTGCTCCTTTCTCTCAGTGTCTTCCGTGAACATCTGCAGGAATAATAGTATGGCATCATGCTCTCCATCCACATCTGGGACAGCAGAGAAGAGGTTCTAGTTGAAGCCCGTGGTTGGGCAGCACCAGATTTAATTAACGCTGCCTTTTATGGAGGTGACTGCATAAGTAAATGCTTCTGTTATAATTTAATCATGAAATTCTTATACTAAGACAAGAGGATGCTTCGATGGCTTCCGATTTAGTTTTTAATATCAGTATGATTTTTCACCCAGTCTCCTCTGCATGAGGAGTCTATGGTTCCAAAAAGTCAAAAAAGGGCAACTGATTGCAGAAGCTTGTGCTCAGCCTCTAACTTTCACTTTTGCTCAACAGGGCAAGGACAAAAGTTAAGATGTTGCTCTAGAAGTAAAACAAAAGACACATGCACACACACACACACAAAAAGCCACCAAGCACCACTACAGGTTTATGAACCTCCCTGCACACCTCCCTGCCAGATTGCAAACCAAAACACACCAGCACCACCTCCACACAACCAAACCAAAATGGGACACTGACTACAGACAGGGGGGGAAAAACTGAAAAAAAAAAAATAATGCTTGGCTAGCCAATTATCACTGGTCAAACAGAATGAAAAACACAAAAACAAAATAAAAAAAATAAATAAAAACCACAGCTAGTGTATCAGAACTCAAATAGTTTGTAAGATTGCCAGTGATAAATGAAAATTTCTTTGTCAGTAAACCAGGCAATAAGGACCACATTGAAACAGCCTGTTATTAGTAGGAAGCTTTCAAGTATTTCCACTGGTTTAGGTACTTTTTTTTTTTTAAGAAAAAAAGGAACAAAAGAAAAAGAGAGAGAAAAAAAGGTATCATCAGTCTCAGGGCATTACTACACAGGCATTTCAACCTTCCAGCAAAGTTCTGCGATGCACATTTACATGAATGTTTTGAACTGAAATGTGACGTGCCCAAGCAACGAGATTCTGCTCACAAGATGCACCTGTAGCGGGACTATGAGGGATAAATTTAAGATTAGGGCCTGAACATGGAAGATCTGACAGGCCAACAGCCCCTCCCACATGGGGGGTGAGAAGAGCAGGGTCTGTAATCTCTCCAGAGGCCAAGTAACTCCTGAGGAAAAGACTGCGTTACTCAAAACACTGTCACATCAGGTTCAAAACCAGCAGAAAATGTGTGTGTGTCCCCTTCCCCGTGCTGAGGGCCAGCCAGCTGGGGGCTGTCACCAGAGAGGGGTGCCCTTCTACCGAGCCTCAGGGCTGCTACCTGCTTTCCTTCACCCCCAGAGCAGCCCGGGGTGGGCAGGGAATGTCACCCAGCGTTTCTGTCACCCAGGTTTTCTGTCACCCAGGTGGATTGCCCAACCCGCCCAGCAGCTCCCTGGGGCAGCCCCATGCCAAGAGGCCGCGGGGATGGGCACAGGCCCAGCGGTGCAAAGCAAACAGGCCGGGCCTGCTCCCTCCTGCAGGCCTGGGGTAGGGTGGGGGGGGAACACAGGACCTGCCGCCTCGTTAGAGGCGATAATTAAGGAATGAAATAAATTATACCCCCCCTCCTCATCCCTCTGCAACCCCACCGGGGGGGCCTGACAAGCGGCTGGCACACCGGGACCCCACCTGCACCGACAGGAGGCCTTGCTCCAGAGGGAAATGAAGCACCGAGGCCTAGAGCGGGGTCTCACCCCCGTCGGCCGCGGCCTGAGGGGGGAGTGAGGCCGGGTCGGGGCCTGCCCCCCCTCAGCGGGTACCCGGCCCCCTCACACCTGAGGCGGAGACACCCCCGCCCGTGTAACCCCCCCACTATGGTGCAGGGGTTCTCCCCATTATGACACACCCGGGCGACCGCCCCAACCCGCTCTCCGCAGGGTCTGGACGGAGCCCCGCGTTACCTCAGCGCCGCCGCCACCGCGCTGCCTCCGCCCGGCCGCCATTATAGTGCTGCCCCGCCCCTCCGCTGCGCCGCCGAGGCCACGCCCCCTCCTCGCCGAGGCCACGCCCCCTCGCGCCGCCGCCGCTGCTGAGCCCTCTGATTGGCCGGTGGAGAAAGGGGGCGGAGCGCGGGGAGGCGCGCGCGGCCGGTGCGGCGGGATTTGGGGGGGGCGCGATGGTGGGGGCTCCGCGCTCCGGGGCATCTCCCTTCTTCCTCCCGGTGCCCGCATCCCCTCGGCTGTGCTCAGCTCCGCTGTGCAATCATGGCCCTCCTCTTTTTTTTTCTTGGGGGGGGTGGTTTTTTTTTAAAAATTCCTGAATTATCGCTTGGCACTAGGGAAAAAATTAATTAAAAATTAATAAAAAAAAAATAAAAAATAACTGGAGCCCCTCAAGGCTTTGGTTGTGCTCTGGCTTTGTGTGATGGCAACACAAAGCTGTCCCCCCCTTCCCTCTGTTTTGCTCTTCACCGTTGTCCCCCCCCTTTGCGCAGGAGCTGGGGGTGCGGGAGTCCTGCCATGGTCCCCCCTGTCCCCTCCGTTCATAGGGTCACCATAGTCATTTTGGGGAAAATCAGGGCCTGCCGCTGGTCAGAGCCCTGCAGGGGCCCTTCAGATGCTCTCACACCTCTCCTCTGTTAATTGGAAGGAGCCCGCTGGTAATTAGCACCCCAAGGCCCTGCCTAAGCTGCCCCAAGCCAATTAGGGACCAACGAGCCCCTTGGGGGTTTGAAAGCTGATTAGGGCATTACAACCTGCCCGTTGCATCGAATCCCTTTAATCGAGTCCAGAAGCAATTAGTTAATCAATGCCACCCCCCCACCCCGGGCAGGGATGGGTGCACATCTGGGTGCCCCACTCCCGGCTCTGGTCGGTGGCCTGACCCCCAGATTGTCCTCCCGAGTGCCCGGCCAGCCCTGTTTTCCTGCCAGCACCTCCCTGGAAGAGCCCCAAGTGCCGAAACGGGGACAATTTTGCAAGATGTGCTTGGCCGGTCCCAGCACAGTCACTTGGTCGACATGTGAGCCTGCCCGGAAGGAGCACCCAAAACAGCTGCGGGGCTGCCCAGCCCTGGGGGGGGCTGGCTGCGGTGAAAATGGGGCCTGTGTTCCCTGCACTCACATACCCTTGCACCCCTGCACCCTCATGCCCGTGTACTGATGGACACGTGTGGCCCTGCACCCCTTTACCTACCCACCTGTGTACCCCTGCACCCATGGACACCCCTGCACCCATGTACTCATGGACCCGTGTACTTCTGCACCCCGGCACCCACGTACTCCTGAACTTGTGCACCCGTATACCCCTGCACCCATGTACCCCTCTATTTGTGCACCCCTATACCCATGTACCCCTGCACCCATGCATCCCTGTACCCTTATACCCATGTATTTCTGGCTCCATGTACCCCTGCACCCCTATACCCACCCACCTGTACACCCCTGCACCCATATACCCCTGTATTTGTGCACCCATTCTTCCCTGCACCCTTATACCCATGGACCCATGTACCTCTGCACCCATGTACCCCTCTATTTGTGCACCCCTATACCCATGTACCCCTGCACCCATGTACCCATATACCCCTGTACTTGTGCACCCATGTACCCCTGCACCTATACCCATGTATATTTGTGCACCCGTGTACCCCTACACCCTGTACTCCTGCATCCATGTTTCCCTGCACCCTTATACCCATGGACCCATGTACCTCTGCACCCATGTACCCCTGCACCCTTGTACCCCTATATTTGTGCACCCGTGTACCCCTACACCCTGTACTCCTGCATCCATGTTTCCCTGCACCCTTATACTCATCTACTCATGGACCCATGGACCCCTGTACTTGTGCACCCCTGCACCCATGTACCCCTCTGTGCACCCCTGCACCCCTGTATGCAGGTACCCCTGTATCTTATACCCATGTACTCATGGCCCCGTGTCCCCTTGCACCCCTGTGTACCCCTGCACCCCTGTACCTATCCACCTGTGCACCCCTGTACCCCTGTACCTATCCATCTGTGCACCCCTGCACCCATGGACCCCTGTACCCATGCATCTCTGTACCCTTATACCCATAGATTCATGGCCCCATGCACCCCTGCACCCCTGCACCCATATTCCCCTCTACTTGTGTACCCTTGTACCCCTATATTTGTGCACCCCTGCACCCCTGCACCCTTGTACCTATCCACCTGTGCACCCCTGCACCCATATACCCCTAGATTTGTGCACCTGTGTACCCCTGTATTTGTGCACCCGTGCACCCCTGCACCCCTGTACACATATTACCCTCTACTTGTGCACCTGTGTACCCCTGCACCCTTGTACCCCTAGATTTGTGCACCCCTGCACCCCTGTACCTATCCACCTGTGTACCCCTGCACCCTTGTACCCCTATATTTGTGCACCCCTGCACCCTTGTACCTATCCACCTGTGTACCCCTGCACCCATATACCCCTATATTTGTGCACCCCTGCACCCGTGCACCCACGTACCCCTGTACTTGTGCCCCGATGCACCCCTGCACCCCATTGCCCATCCTTCCCCTCCTGCCCGCCGTCTCCGTGGCCGTGGGCAGCAGCCACCCCCCCACCTCACCCTGTCCCCCCGCCAGCGTGACCCGCAGGCGACAGGGCTATAATTACCCCCTTCTCCTCGTGCCGCTGCCAACATTTGCAGCTCCCGCTGCGGAGGGGGGGCTGGCATTTGGCACAGCACCCTGTTTATCACCCCACCAGCTGGGCACCCTGTGCCGGGGCTGTTTTCCCTGCCCGCTGCGGGTCCCCGGGGGCTGTTTTCGGCCACTTCCCCCCCCCTCCAACCCTACCTCTTGCCCAGCCG